ACCTGCAGTCCAGAGAATCTGGGGCACCTGTCAACTAAATAAAGCAAAAGCAAATCCAGACATGGTATCTCTGGTGGGCTGATAGTGCAGTTTTAGTCTTCTATTGCAATCTCAAACATTACAGATATTTTTTCATAACATTTTACTTCTGGAGTTTTTTGTTTTGTTTTTTTCTGCTTTTGAGTTTTACATTGTGTATGTGGCTGAAGACGTGGGCTGAAGGCAGGAAGTAAGATGGCTAAATCTGTAAGAACTGTGCGGTTAAAAAGGTTTCAGTCTCATCCAGTGGTGCTCTGTCAACAGCTGGGCAAAACCCCTCAGAAATTAGCAATTAGTTGTTGGTGCTTATGGGTCACTGTTGCCAGGTATTACATTCCTTTTCAAAATGAAGAGGAAAAATGATCCAAAAATGCACCTGAATTTATGGAGAAATCTCTTGATTCCATTTGAGAAGGAAGGTTATCCTGCACTGGACAATAAGGCTGGTACAGTTTTAATGCTTTTCACAATAATGCATTTCTGTGAGCAGAAATTTTTGATTTTAGTGTTAATGATAATAAAATAAGCCCACTAGTTCTCTCTTTACTTTAACTGAAACTTTTACCAATCTCGAGAAAACTTTCACTTACGTTGTACTAAAAATTTCAGGCATATTATTAAAACTGACAGGAAAAAAAAAAGTAAATAGAATTTTAATTTTTTTTTAACACGTAGCTGTTTTTATTGTCAGCAGGATGAAAATTGCTGTATGTGAAATCTGCAGGTTTCATTGCATCACTAGAAAAATTGTAGGGGATGATAAATAAAGTGTCAAAACTCCACAGTGCTAGACCAAGGCTACCTGGAATGGTTACCTATCTTGTGAATCTTAAAATCTAAAATCCAATCACAGAAAGCTTGTGCCGTAACAGCAAAGTGACTTTGCACAGGGTTATTTTCCTGGCATTAACTTTGAAGACTGTATTGTGGTAAGCTTTGCTTACAGAGATTTAAGTTTATCCACTCCTTCCTCTCCACCTGCAGTTTGCTGCTAGGTATCTCTTTAGAGGCTTTTCCCTCTCAGTGTCTCCTGTGAATTGCTGAGATATTTGTCTGTAATCTACCTTTTAATCTAAAGCTGAAGTATTGTTTGGTCTGACTGATCTCACTGATGTCCAACAGCTGTCAAGATATTATGTAGCAGAGCTGATTTTAGAGAGAACCCATGGTTTTAGCTAGCTTTGGCTCATCAGTGCAACAAAACTTCTTATTTCTCTGAGCCCCCAAAAGGCTGAGGTGGGAGAAACTGCAGCACTATGCAAGCCACAGTGTTGATGCATGGGGAGAAGGGTTGTATCCCCCTGGGGAATCTGAATGCAGAATGGATGCCCCACGAGACTTGAGAATCACCCTTGTTTGTGACTGATCACAGCCACAATTTTTCATTGCAGTTAAGTTCAAAAGATGACCACCTGAAGTCTCCTCTGGATGCTGAGGTGTGGCCTAGCAACACATGACAGAAATACAAGGGTGTACATGTCGAGTATATTGAGAGGATATCGTTTTCCCTTGGTTTCACATTAAGTTCCAGTAAAGACACCACCTTTGCTCTGCATATCTCACTGGAGTACGTAGCATTTGCAGGTGTGGCAGTCCTCTGTGACAATCTGTTGCTTGGACATACTATTTAGGTCTTTGTTTATTCTCTCTGTCGGATGTTAACAAAATGCTTTCTCATTTTGTCAAGGGTAATTGGTGTCCTGGTTCAGCTATGGTAGGGTTAAGTTTCCCCAGCAGGGGGAAGGGATCTCCAGCTGGGTTATTCATACCATGCTGATGTCAGGTCTGGTGTGGAAGCACGGGAAGCTTTCCTTTGTAGCTTTGGTCTGGGGAAGCATGCGTGGCGGGCTGGCTGTGTTCACTGCGGTATTTATCTGTATATCTCTTGTTTATTGTTATTACTGTTTATTGTTGTTGTTTGTTATTTATTACACTGTTGTATTAAATTTCCTCTTCTTTCAACCCTGGGGCTTGTGCCCTACTCGGTCCGAGGGTGGGGGAGGGGCAATGGCAACGTGGTCTCTGGTCCCGGCAGGGCCTAAACCCCTACAACTGGTAATTCAGAAACAGCTATGGATTTTTTTGGCTGTACAATCCTAGGGAAGAAACTGGTCTTCTGTCTCCTCCTGTGCATTCAAACTGTATTAAACCAATACTGCTGAATCTGGAGGAGTATAAAAATGTCTTGGGATAGTTGGAAATAACTGATAATGAAATTATTATTTCACTAAATTTTACTGTTAAAAAAATAAGAACTTCACCAGTATTTGTAAATTTTTCTTTTTTTAATCAGCCTGCACTAAGCACTGTGACACAAATTCTTTAATATGCGTTTCATTGGTATTTTGTTCTGTGGAAAATGTTCCTGTAAATATATGAACACCAGCAGAGTAAGATGGAAGCAACAAAAGCATTGCAGGAATAGATAATTCTCAGACTTGTTTGTGAAATGATCAGCTACTGCCACTATGTTAAAGGACTAAAATGAGGCTGCTGAAATGTGAGGCTGGTGCTCTGGACTAAGCCCTCTACTTCCCCAAACATTTGTAGTCAAAGATTCTTTTATACTTTTTAACTCAAGTTTTGTGACTAAGGCTGGAATAGCTCTCTCAGCTACTCTTTGTAGTGACTTACCTAATTTCAAAGGAAACATCATGGATCTTGGAGCATTTTTGTATGGACACAGAAGGTATTTTAATACCCTTAGAATGATGAGACAATTACCCAGCACTAAAACTTGAGAGTACCCTAAGCCTAATTTTTCTGCATTTCTTCTGTGGGGTGTAGGCTTTTTAGGCTTTAGGATATCTACTAGCATAGTAGGATTTAAAAAAACCCTAAACAACTTGTACATGAATTATGCATATATAATTATTGGCTGTTCCTCTCTTCAACACAACCTTCTGCTAGCTTGTCCACTGGAGAGCATATTCTTCTGCAAGCAAGTAGCTAACCTCAGTGACATTGTTTCAGGAATCAAATATTAAACCAAAGAAAGAACCTTCTACACCTGTCTAATTTTTTGAAACCTGGATTAAAAGCACCTTAATGCAAGAAATCAGTCTTGGTTTCTCTAGGCTATGAGGCTTCTTGATAACATCATTCAGATAGTGATCTATTTGTATCCCTGTGTTTTTCTGAAGTTTGCAAGCATGATTCACCTGCCATTTCAGAACATCAAGTAAAAGAAATTCAATTATGATTTTTGGAATGAATTGTCAAAGACCTAAAAGTGTGTGGAAAAGGAGGACACCAGCAACAAAAAACAAATCCCTAGACTAAATGGAAGAGGAAAACATGTTGCCTTATACCCTTTTCCCCAACCTGAAAAGCAGCTACAAGTTACTCAGCTAATTACAGCATTATTCTGATTAAATCAATGCTGTTTTGACAGGACTACATTTGACTTTTAGCGTAATATGATTTAGCAAGGCAATCATTCATCTGATAAAAATGTTTGTCACATTTCCAGTACTAATGAGAAACTAATTCTGCTTCTTCCTTTCTCTCTCCTTATTAACCATACAGACCACTCTCTATTAGTTTTCTACATGTTAAAATTTTCCCTTGAATTTTTGAAAGGCATGTGCCAGAACATACAGTGTACTATATAGTGGGCACTGGAAGCACATCAGAACAAGGACAATAACTCTTGGCTCAGCACCCACCATTGCTGCACAGCGGACTGGCTTCCAAAGCACTGCAAGAGAAACACCTTTCAGCAAATGCCATTTAGTCTATTATGTGCCCACAACTGAGATACAACTCACAGCTCTGATTACCTCTTCCCTGAATAGATACAGGAGAACTAGACATGAAATAAAGGCAAATGACAAGAATTATGATGCGTGCAGAACAATATCTGTATGAGAATAGACTACACAGACAAGGACTGAGATTGACTGCAGAAAGTTACCGATGAATAGTCCTTCTTAGTTTCACCCCCATCACATACCCCCTTGTACAGTGGCTTTCAGATTGGAATGGTATTCCTGAAGAATTTACTTTAGGGGGAGTTAATGCATGTGGATAATGGTGATATGGCTGATATAGTCTACTTGCATTTCCAAGAGGTGTTTGACTCAGTTTTGTATCATATTTTTTTAAGAAAACTAAGCCGGTAGGGAATGAGAAAGAAGGTCATGGCAGGGAGATGTGTTTAAAAGATAGGACAAAGAAGGGCAACAGTAAATGGTCAGCACTCAGAACAGAGGGAGGATACAAGTGCAGGGATCTGAGCTGTTGAAAATTATCTGGAAAAAGACATGAGCAAGGAGGCTGAGAAAGTCTGATGATGATACTTGGAGGGGGGACAAGGAAAGCAGACTGTGTAGAGTTCTGGAAAAATGTCTGAGTAACTGGGCAATGAGACAGGAAGTGAAATTCAAGTTATGTAGAGAGGTGCACGAGGAAAAACATTACCCTTAACTGATGTATAAAATAATGGCCCCTGAGCTGACCATTACCACTGATGGCCAAGATCTAGGGTTACAACAGATAAAAACATTAGCAAAAGCAAATCGTATGTCAGAGATTATTAGGAAAGGAACAGAGAAAGTCACGTAGTTGACTCTGTGTGTGCTTCTTGTCCCCTCTTCTCAGTAATGGAATAGTGAGACTGGAGGAGTTCAGAGAAGAGCAACAAGGGTGACCAATGCCTTCTCTTGGAAGAACAGCTGAGCAGAACAGGATTCCATGGCCCGGAAAGGAGATTATTTAGGCAGGAAGGTGATGCTCATCTACTAAACTCCAAGCACTGTGTAAAAGAACAGATGGGACTAACCATCTACTGTTGACTGGGAGGAATCAAACTAAGCTACTGGGAACCAGGTGCTTCACTCTCCCCAGGATCCCTCGTGACTCCAATGCTTCATGCAAGGAAAAAGGTGACATGCTGAACTTTGCCAAAATACACTGGCTGCTTCAAGTAGGCATGAATTCAAGAGAAGACTGAACAAAAATCAGGGCAGAGATTTATTTGGCTTGGCAAATATACAGAAAACAAATATAGCTCAGGAAGTCCCCCAAACTAAATATAGTTGGAGCTCAGGACAGTATTCAGGGGAAGTGCTTGTTCTTCCTGACCTATAGCCACTGTGGAGAAAAAACTCAAGGGCTGGAGTATCCTTGTTCTGACCTAGCACAGCTGCTCTTGTATGCTTGCATTTCAGATTTCCAGTCTCATACGGGCACTTAATGCTACCATGTGTGTGAGCTGGCACGTGTCTGCCAAATAGTGTCAAGAAGTGGATTTTCATCGTGTAGGTCAGTCTGAGATTCTTCATCTAAAATTTAAACCCACTAAGCTCTGCAATTGATCCAGTACAGTAACACGTGGTTTGACAGTTTCAACTTCTGCTTTCATATCCATTTCCTTCTTTCTTGAATAGTCTGGTAACTGAACACAGTGAACATAAAGATGATTCCTCTCCTATACAGTTTTAATTTGCAGTTGTCTTGCAATCTCTCTTCAGATAACTTAGAGTTGTTTTCCCTAAGTCTTTTGGGCAAGAACTAGCCTTCCCCACAATGTATGTGTATCACATTTCCAATTTTATTCCCTTTCACTTTCTTTTTCCTATATAAGAGTTGTTGAGCCAAAGCAGATTTCTTGCTTGTGTAACCTAAAGACAGACTCACACACACTGAAGCAGACATCTGGAACAGCTTAGGGCAGCACTGCTTACAGGGGTCTGTCTCTGCTAGAGGTGGGCCTTCACTTCATATGGTGACAAACAGGAACACACAAATCTTTCTCTGTGGTAGCAACTCTCAGTCTGGTGTATCAGTTTATGTTGCCACTCCAGAATCTGGGCTCAGCATCTTTATTATCCAAATAGCCCTTAAAGAAACATAAGGGTGGGTCATGACAAGGCTGCTACAAAGAATGTATGGCAGATGCCCGCTCTGTATGCAGAGGCCTAAGTGTCATTTGACAGTGACTCAGAAGACCATTTCTTATTCAGGCCACATTCTTTTAATATCAAAGTGCAAAGGCAGCTGTTAAGTAAGATAACCAAAGCAAGAAATTGTGTAGCTAAGTAAGTAACCCACCCTGTGCCATATGCACAAAAGGGGTTAACAGCTCTCAAACAAAAAATAATCCTGCTAAAGTTCCAGGCAAAAATCACGGATGTTAAGAGCCAGTCAGCCATTTTGTCCCATTTGATCCTGGCTTGTAGACAGATGGTGCTCTTGCAGGTTTCTGGGTAGGCATTCTGCCTGGCTGGAGATCTCCAAGGAAGCCCACCTATGCTGATGCTGGACACCATGCACCCAGCCCTCCAGGCCCAAACAACAATACTGACTGTTTGAAGGGGCAGGGAACAGATAGGATTCCTTTTTGTCTCTACTTAGGTTAACAAAAACAGAGAATTCCCTTTGATTCTAGGAAGCTGCATTTTTATGTACAAATGGGAGCTACATTCTATAGGAATGTACATACTGCTATACAATATTTGTATGTTTTTTTCCTTTTCTGGTATCTGTCCTAGCTCTAATATTGTTTTGTAAATATGTGGAAAAGCCTAAGGCTGTCCACAAGGCTTTCGAGCTGTCTACATCACTGTGCAACTGTACATCCTGTTGCATTATTCATGATCTGGGTTTATAGCTCAAAGGTGCAAGTGTAGAGCTCTCATTTAAAAGAACAGGATTGGCCGTAACAAGGTTGAGTATGAGCAGCATATTCCCTGGCAAATAAAAAAAAAAAAAGTGGCAGTTGGTACAAAAAGTGTTAAAATAAGCTTGGCAATGTACTTTACTGTTTCATAAGCAGCAGTGGTATAATCTGCAATTAAATACTGCTTGTGTTATCAACCACTTGTAGGCAGGATGTCACTGTTTATATGAGCATGGATAATTCTTCACAAAGAGTTTTGCACCATCATTGAAGAGAATTCCTAGGAGTCAATGAAGATAAATGCTATATTGCCAGTTAAGCTGCTAGCTGTAGTACTTATAAAACATTTGAATTAAGAGACTGGCATTCAGGTATTGAGATAGAGCATCAGAAAGAGGAGAAAAAAGATCTTCTCTTTGTAGTCTTGTACTTGAACATTACTGGAAATACCACTCAGGAGAGCAGTTTATGGGTTCTTCCTTCCAAAGAGTCTTTAGACGCTGGGCCCAAGCAATCAGCATCTCCTTCCTCTTCTCCTCAGAGACATACTCCGGAGCGAAGCAGATGTGAGGTGCAAGGACTTTGACGCCACAAAAGTGCATAATTCCATGCTGGACTCAAAGCAAAGAAAGAAATGTCTCAGGAAATAGTCTTTCACTTTCAATTCAAGAATGTGGAAAATTCAAACCTAATACTGTTTCTCTGACCCAGTATAAGGTAGGTTCTCTAAACCTGTGCATTTATCGGGAGAAGGAAAATGAATGGCAAAAGTTCATTACCTATCCTGAAAGTCACTATTGAAGGCTAGGCATCAAGCAGAATGACATACAATACACTGAAAAATAAGGCCATCTTCATTTATTCTGCTCTGTGGAATTTAAGTGCTGTTCAACCCACAGAACTGTTCTTTTCAGCTGCTGTATGCTATTAAATTTGCAAGGATCAGAGACAGTCTAAAGTTCATTGTACTGTTTGAACATCCACGGATTGTTCCTGAACCGCGGTGTATTTCTCATCTACTGTGTATTTTTTTTAACCTTTTGCCTCTGGCTTAGCAAAATGATCCTGAACGAAGGCTAGTGCCTTTCAAATCAGCTCAACTTGCCATTTTCCCTCTGTGTATTTCTGAATTCACAGTTGTGTTTCACATTCTTTGTCATGTTGACTTGCAAGTGCTGCAGCTAGATAGCCTCACAAGGGCAGTCAGCTAGTAATCACAATCGGTAGGAGACCAAAGAATTTAAGCACATCTGTTGCATTATATCAAGAAGTAGCTGGCACAGTTTGCCTTGCAGCCTAAATTTCTCAAAGCACGTTTGCTATGTCTGATAAAAGGGTAGCAGTAAGAAAGGACATGCTAACTTTGGGATGCTTAATGTTGATGCCAGGATAATGTGTGACTCCCCTCCTACGTGAATCAGGTAGCTATAGGGGAAAGAAATCCTGCACACTAGGGCTAAAGGTAATCCTATAACAACAGAAAAACTTAAAAAGCTGACAGTATAAGCTTTCTCCAGATTCCAATCTGGAGGAAGGGGCACAAAACAACTTTAAAACTGTGGACTTTTAAAGTAGCGTCAGGATTCTTAGGGCCCAATGTATAACCTGCAGATGCTTGGAACTGACAATTCTTTCTTATTATATTTAATATAAAATAATAATACAACTGTTAAAAATAATTGGAATAATAAAAAATAAGGCAAACAACAACAAAATATTCACATCTTATACCTGCATGGGCCACAGGAGATAGCGAATATCACCATTGATACTTCCTTTTGCATACATCTCTTCGCTTCCTCCAGTGGTGAAAGAAAACAGGGCTAATTTGTTCTAGAATTAAGAAAGCAGCGCTTGAGTTAAGCATGTTTAAAGAAGAGTAGCTAAATAGTTCCATAAATATTTAGGGGAACCTGGACAGCAAAAAATTTCTAGAGGTGGTGGTGTTCTCTTCTTTCCCAGACCTTCTGTGTAGTGGCAGGTCCGAGGCAAAGATTGACGACATACAACTAGACAGTGGACTGTATGTCAGGGCTTTGGGTAGAGACAGGTTGAAAAGAAAAGGAATTACAATCTGACTTGTATGAAGAAGGGCTGACCCTTGTTCTCCCCTATGCAATGTTTGGAAGACTGGGGCTGGAAAACACACTGTTACTGAGAATATCCTTTTTCCTGTCCTTCCTTAATACAGAAATTGAATGCTATAGTCCCCCTTCAAACTTGGGTTTGGTTGTCATGGAATAATTCAAGAACAAACTATTCCTCAGGTGTTCTAAACCCCTGTGTTTCTTCTGCTTCTGTAACAATGGTATCAGCCATGGGCTCGTGCTCAGCTTCTATCCTCTCAGTTTTAGCTTCTGTAATTGAAATAACATTTTTCCAGTGCAGTATCCGAACTGCCTTGAGCCTGCACTCAGCATGCAGCTATGATCATTAGGGATTAGTCCTATTCATCATGGAGAGGCAGCCGTTTCTGAAATTCAAACAAACTGAAATGTTTGGAATTGTTAAGAAGATCAGAAATTAGAGAACAATATGCAGTGAATGTAAATGTGAAACTATTATTGATTGTTTCTGGATGCTGCAGTTGTTAGCAAATAACTATCAGACAGTGGGCCAAGTTTTTCCAGGGATATTCCCAGTGCTGTGGAGAATTAAAAATTTATGAATTGTCATAGAGAGATACTGATCTTGTTTAATTTGTAAGCTACAAAGAGGAAAAGGTTGAAAGGAGATAGTCGGGAGAGAGGCTAGTGCACTGGGTATTTCAGGTTTCTGACTAAGTTTTATAGTTTAATCCCAGACTTTGACATCTAATCCCAGAACAGGATCTTGTCACCTATTCTAGTATGTCATTCATTACAGATTTGTGCAGTCCTACAGCAGCGGGAAGAATGACAGACTATCGTTTTAGGAAATGCATCGATTTAAACTGTTTGCAAGCTGTAATGCCATCTCAGTGCACTCTGATACACCTAGCAAATCATAAAGTCCATTTTGTAGGCCTGCTAAAAATCTCTGAGAGACTGCTTAAATCTTTAGGAGACACTGCATTATCCTTATTGTACTACTTTTCAGACAGTTTTAACAAGCCAGACAGTTCCTCAACATGTTAACAAAGCATTATTTCATAAGGGCATAAAGTGAGAGCTTTAAGCAGATATAATGGAAAACCCAATACCCTCAAGAGCATTGCAAATCTTGATCTTAATAAAAGAGTCTCGAAAACATACCTTGAGCAAACCAGAATCATAACAGTTTGGAAACTCATGAGCAAATCCTTGGACCAATACTCTGTCCATCCAGCCCTTCATGATTGCTGGCATGCTGAACCAATACAAGGGAAACTAGGCAAGAAGGAAATTACCTTGTTAGCGCAGAGAGTCTGGGCCATCCCTAGGCCTGGTCTACAGGCTAAATCCTATTCTCTTGATCTGTTCAGATCTTATACATGCCTTCTTCCAGCTCTCTGTCAGGAGAGGCAGTAACTATGCTTGGCAAAAATAACTGAAGTGCTTTGTAACAGTGTCAGGTACATACCTGAGCATCTGTAGCACACTAACACCATGGTGAATGTGAGGGCTTCTACACAAATTAAAGCTGGGATATGATGAAGCAGGAGGGTGCCGTTTAATTCAAACTTAAGACTGTACAGAATTGCATCTCCTATTGCTGAAATGCAAAAGGAACATATGATCTAATAGACAATGTGGCCAAAATGCACACAGAGCCTTATTACCAGGACTGACATTTGGTGATCAGTTCTGATCTGACAGTCTGACACTGACAAATGCCATGAGATCTTAAGAAAGACTTACTTTCATACCCTGCTGACATGATGACCCTGAATCACTTTATTGAGAAGAAAACTTTTAACAGTAGGATCCTCTGCTTCTAGATCCTTCAGTTAGCCCATGGGACTACAGCCTAAAGCTATCATGTCTCATTTGCATTATCTTGAATGCTTTATGGACTCCTGTTCTAGGATGCATCGCTATCCCTAAGCCCTCGTACACACTGCAGTACAGAAGAAGAAATTCTGTAAAAGCTTATCCACGTGTGGTTTAATTCAAGATGGAAACAACGTGGAAACTAGGCAATCACCATTATCTTTGGAATTGGTAATTTAGCCTGCAGATAATTATAAATTACTTTATGGTGTCTTTGAGAGGCTTGCTTTTTTTTTTTTTTCTGCACCAGAACATACTAAACTTCATAGCATTCTATAGACAGAAAGCAACTACTTCCTTCAGGGGCTATTTCACTATACTTATCACAGAAGCAATTGTTTAAAAATGATGAAGACTTACAGTGAAATGTTTGAGATATGATCACATACAAAATTTAATCTAGAATTGGACAGTGGAATATATATAGCCTATGCCTAAGGCCAACAGTCACAGAGGCACACAAAAGAAGTGTGGGGCTAGTACTGCCTTATACAGTACTTCTGGAACTTGTCGACAACGAGGACAGAGCTAGCACAGTGGGGAGCGGAGATGGGATGCAATGTTCCGTTAGCAAGTCCAGATAGTGCTTCTGCAACTCAGCAATAAATGAGGACAATCTGGTTGGTAAAGTACAAATTCCCTGACCCCACTGGCTGCTCCCAGCTGCTCGCCCAGAAAACAAGCCGTGCCCTGCTTTCTGCCAGCCTGCCTGATAACCGTGGGCATGCACATCTTTGTGCGTCCAAGATATGAACTTTGGCTGAGTGTTAGTGAATTACTGGATTTGCTGTCATTCCAACCCGGGTAACTGTGCTGTTGAATTACTGGATTTGCTGTGGTAATGACCCGGATAATTGTACTACTGATCTGTATTTGTTACTGTACCATTACTTAAAGTGTTTATCCCCAAACACTCTTCCCTTTGTCTGTTACCATATCCCAAACCTGTAACTCATCAGGGCCACCTTAAGGCCTTACACACATCTCAGCATGTAGATCTGTGTTTGTGTTGTGTGAGCTCCAAGACAAAGAGATAGTATTGGGCTGCCTGATTAACATGGCACGGTTCTCATATTGAGAATTATAGTCTTATTTTGCACTCAGTACTTTGTGGTCAGAGTTGCTCAATGCAATCATTTTGAAGTGCAGGTAGTATGAAAACCAATTTTCACAAAACCTGCATAACAAGACTACTTTTGAATGTTGATTTTTAAGTGAAGCACTGCTGTGAATTTTAATCAGGTATTTTAAGGTTCTAATATCATGTCCCTTCCAATGCTCAAAAAATGCCAGTGTGGAGCTATTATTTGTGTGAAAAATTCATACTGTGCTAGCATGAATAGTGCTCACACACAACCTGGTATTTTTGGTATTTTCTAAGATCCACATCATACCAGAAAAACTTGACACCTTGAAATTGCTATGCTGGATTCAGTCTGTTTTATGTTGATGGCAGAGCTACTATCTCTTTTTACTCTGGCCAGATTCAATGTTCCTAACGAAATCTACAGTTTTCTCACTATTGCTTTTCTTTTGTTCACCCCTGTATGTTACAACTGGAGTCTTTTTTTAACACAATTTAAAATAATTACCTGAAAAATCAGCAAGTCTGCTCCCTGCACCTTCTTTTGCTCTTCAATCACATCACTGGACAAACCTCCTCTCTTGTAAGCTTCCCATGTCTCCACACCATAATTGAACTCTTCTGAGTTGTGCAAGCAACCTGTGGGTAGAAGGAAACAGGTAGTAGTCATTCCTTGCCCTGTTTCTAGCACCGTAGCAAGTACAGATTAAATACGTTGCAATCTACGGTTCTAAATTGAGTTATTGCTTTCCATTTTTCCCTGCTGCTTCTTAAATTTTTATTTTATGGATATCCAGCATCATCACAGCTGATGGTGATTGGGTTTTAAGCTGGAGAGGAATGTAGTGTCTCAGTACTAAATCTTTTGCCTTTCTGTAGCAACATATGAAGTGCAGTAAGAGGACCTAAACTTGGCTCTAGACTCTGGTGATGCAGATGGAGGATTTAAGAAAATTTTGGTAATTGCTCTGCCACTGCTTTAGGGACGACTAAAACCATGACGTGATCACAAGGACTATGTAGCTGCTTTTCAGCCTTTGTAACTGGGAAACTCAGCAGGGGCTGGGGAACCAGTACTGGCCATCTCTGCTGATTCCACTACAGTTGGTTAAGCTGATTCAAATATGTCTGAATCTGACATACACATTCATTCTGCTGATTCAACTAGCAGATCATCAGTCTCTAGCAGAAGAGAGAGACAGTAGCCTCATAAACTAAACTCATAGAATGGTATCTGAAGGCATTTCTCACCCATAAGAAGTAGACTTCAGAGACTGATTGTGGACACGTGCTAATGCATTTTTCCCTCCGAGTAATGTTACTATGAGTCAAAGTTCATATTCAGGAGTGGACTTTTTGAAATACTTATGTCTCGTCATTATTAAGTTTCTTCTTGTTTTTGCCAGTGCTTGCACTGGACCTGTGCTATTTCTTTTTGCTTGTTGTTTTAAAGAAAGAGTAGTAAATTATGTTATGGCTGTTTCCTAATCTGGAAAAATACTAGGGCTAAATGCTAACAAGAGCATAGTGAAAATATCACATAAGGCTAACAAAAGCATCACTATTTTTCTCCAGTCTTAACTGCATCATCTAGTCATTTTTAGTAATCGTATAATACCAAGCTAGTTGAGGAGTGCCAAGACAACTCAAAAGCCCAAGCAGTTAAGTGCCTGGAGCTAACTTGCATAAAGTATGTGTAATCTTGTTCATTAAGAGAAGGTGGTTCTTAAAACATGTTTTCAGCTGATTGTAAATACTGTAAAAATAATAATTTTCCCTCATTCACTTTAGTCTAAAGGCAAAACACTGTTTTACAGATCCGCACTACACAGATTTTTTTTTTTTTTTTGGATTGAGGGGGGCGTTTCTAGTGACCACATTTATTTAAATAAAGATGATACTTGTTCCTACACTGTCAGTTAGGAACTACACTTAGTGCTAATAGAAAGTAAAAAGCTGGGTCTTGTTAGTTGAGGCATATGTGTACAAAATAACAGCAACTTTTTTTCAGAGTGCATCTAACAGCGTGGTTCTGGATTGTTAATGCAGCATGTTAGACAAGGTGAAAGTTTGTTTTGTTGTTATTATTGAAAAAAGTGTAATTTTGGTTAGTCTCACCAACAACATCATTTCTTGTTGCTCGTGGCTCAAACTGCATTGCATATAAATCAGAAACTGTGACACTGCAGCCCTGCTTGCTTAATTCTTCCATAGCAATCCTCTTCAAAGATCCATTGAAGGACCTGGGCTCTTGATGTGCATAGACTATCAGGACTTTTCTTCCTGGAGGCAGACAGGAAACAAGAAGACACCTTTGAGTACAGGAGGCAGATATGAAAGAGTTTGTGGAACCAGTCCTTCATTTTTCTGTAGTGTGTTCTCCCAGCAGCACAAAACTAGTGAAACAGAATGACGGTGGCAGTGTTTGACCCCTGCTCGCCAGCAATGAGTGACTCAGGAACTAATCAGTAAATGTCCCTCACCCAGGGATTTTGTGCTAAACTGGGCTTTCCAGGTGAAACTCAGTGGACAGTGGGTGCGATTCCATAGCAAGTCACACTATCCTACGTCAGCACAATCCAGTTCCTCCTCAAGTCAGCATTTGTGTTCATTGGATTCCACTGCCCCCCACCCCCAACACACCCAACAACAGAAGAAAAAAAAAAAAGCTGTCTGCTGCTTTAGCTCCCTAGGCTGGGTCAGACAAGCTACACAGCACAAGTGTGAGGGGTGGGCTGGGATCAAAGCCGTCCCAGCTTAGATTCCCTCAAACTTGTGGACACAAGTGCAGAGAGCTCAGCGCATCTTCCTAATGCAATGTGGGGATCGCCTCATCATCCATTTCAGTGCTGCACAAGTGACAACATTGGGGTAGGTGTTTAAGATGCCACTATCCCACTTCAGCTTCATCACAGCGACTTCAACAGAAAGCAGTATGATTTTTTTCTTAGATGCGAGTGAGCTGTCTAGTGTATCTCAAACTGCTGACAGAGTGGATTTAAGGTAAGCTGAGCGGCAAGACAGATATGTTGGGATGGAGCTTCTTAAACTGATGTAACAAGGTGTATTGGAGCTTGTTCAAAATTTTACTGTACAGAGGCCATTCAACTTGAATAATTATCTAAAAAAATAATTCATCACTGAACACAAGGTGAAATACTTTCATGGGGTAGTAGTTATTAATACATAAATGCTGCAGAGAAGGCAATTTCCAGGGTTTATTGAAAATTACTGGATTTGCAAAACATGCAGCTCTTGGTTCCTGACCACCAACACAAAAAACTCAGGCACCTGCTGATTTCAGTTTCTCCAGGGGACACAGAAGCTATACAGCTCTGTGCACCACCAGGGTGATGGGTAAGTTTCAGGTATCAGAGATAATTAACAGAACCAGAGCTGAAGGCTTGAAGAAACAATACCTCATTTTTAACCTAAATTATAAGGGGTGATTATTTCTGCACAGCATCCATGAAATGACTGCTTTGCCAAAAGACTATTAAAATTTGTGGTCAGATGCTATCATAAATTTAATGTATATAAACTACTCAAACCACTGTTCCGTAACTTATTCTGGAATATTGAGAGCGGTTATCTCTTTGCTGTTCCTGTTAACTCTCAGCAAACCAGCAGTTCCATAGTTGGAGATGACAGAAGCTCACAGATGTGGAAGATGAACTCTGCGAGCTGCTGGTTTGTTTCCATTTCAGCAGAGCTGAGGGCACTCAGACACAGCGCTGGGAGAGACTGGGGTTTTCAAAGGTATCACTGAAGTTGTTCCAGTCATTTGAAAAAGCAGTATCTCAGTATCCCAACCAAACGTTACAGATGCCACGTACCAGCATGCCCAGGCCTGAGGTGAAGAGTATTTTTATCGGTATTTGTTCTTACCTGCCATTTTCTGGAAGCACTTAGTAGCTTCTGTCTTGAGAATCTGATACGGCCTGTGAACCTAAATGACAGATTTGCTGGTGTGAGAAGCATCGGGAAAAGGTACAAGGCGAACAGCTGTTTCGGTAGGAAAGGTGCCATTCTGGGTGGCTGCGAGCAGGCTGCGCGGGGAAAGCACCGTGCGGGTGCCCCTGCGTGCGTACCTCTGTGGAGGCAGACGCGCACCCACGGGTGCTGGGGCAGTGTCAGGGCCGCCGGGCCGGGCCGTGAGCGTTGCCTTGCGGCGGCCGAAGGCCCAGGGGCCGGTGG